GAATAATCCCCGCAGCTCCTTGATTACAGCGCTTGATGCCATGCTGCTAACTACTCGCACCTCCAGCCACTTGGTGTATGCGTCTACAGCGACCAGAAATACTTTCCCTTCCACTGGACCCGCAAAGTCCATGTGAAGTGTATCCCAGGCTGTTGATGGTCGTTCCCAATTTGTCATCGGTACTTTTATCTTGGTTTTCTGGTTTGTTTGACATTGGGCACATTCCGCCAAACATAATTCAATATCTTTGTCAATTCCTGGCCACCACATGTAACTTCTGGCACAGGCTTTCATGGCCACGATTCCACGATGTCCTGAGTGTACAAGAGTCAAGGACTCAGGCCGCAGAGACGCTGGTATCACCACACGTGATCCTCATATCAAACATCCTCGCTGTGTCGCTAGTTCAGTGTGCTTGTTCCTGAATGGTTAAAAGATGTCTTCCTTAAGGTTCCTAAAATTTCCACTCTAAACTGCGTCGTACACACGGGAAAGAGTAGCGTCTTCTTTTGTCTTGTCTGCTAGTTTCCCGACAGTAATCGGTGGCCTGGTCAACGCTTCCAGCATGAGCACATCTCCGGGAGGCTGTGGCTCGTCGTCGGCTGCCGGTAAAGGTAGTCTGCTCAAAGCGTCTGCATTCTGATTCCGTTTTCCTGGTCGGTAGACAAGATCGTAGTTATAGGCCGTGAGCTTAACGCACCACCTTTTCACGCGTGGCGAAAGAATGGGCGGAACCGGACTTTGTGGACCTAAAATTCCCAGTAGTGGTTGATGATCCGTTGTGATGGTAACATGTCAACCGGAAATGTAGCGGTGGAACCTGCTTGTAGCGTAAACTATAGCTAAACCCTCCTTGTCCAACTGGGAGTAGTTTTCCTGGGCCTTTCCCAATGTTCTAGAAATGAAAGCTACGGGAGACTCGTTTCCGTCTTTGTCTAGGTGCGCCAGTACCGCACCGATGCCTTATGGTGATGCGTCACACGACAATACCAGCGGCTTATTGTCGTCATAATGAGCTAGAACTGTACGTTCCGCGAGGGCTTCTTTCAGTTGCAGAAACGCCTGCTGATGTCGTGCACCCCACTGCCATGGAGCGTCTTTCTCAAGTAGCATATACAGCACCTTGGCTATTGATGCTCGGTTCTGAATGAAGCGGTCATAAAATGCCAGGAGTCCAAGAAAAGACTGAAGCATTGCCCGGCTGGTCGGTTCCGGCATCTCTTTGATTGCTCTCAGTTTTTCTTCGGTTGTGTGTACTCCCGTTGCATTTATCTTTTGTCCCAGAAACTTCACTTCTTCGACACCGAAACGGCACTTTGACCTTTTTAAGCGAAGCCCGGCGTTCACCAACCTGCTCAAAACTGCCTCGAGACGCTCAAGGTGCTCTGTTTTTGTGGTTCCGCTGATAATAACATCATCCAGGTAGACTCCCACGCCGGGTAGTCCTGCCAGGATTGTCTCCATGTAGCGTTGGAAAATCGCTGGTGCAGCCGAAATTCCAAAAGGCATTCGTTTAACCCTGTATAGTCCCTTGATAGTGTTAATGGTGAGCACATCTGCTGTCTCTGCTGTCACGTGGAGCTGTTGATATGCCTGAGTGAGATACAGTGTCGAAAATATGGTGCCTCCCTGCACACTTGCCAGAAGGTCCGTTACCGTTGGCATTGGATACACCGTTGGTTTTGCAGCCGCGTTCACCGTGCTCCTATAGTCTCCACACATCCGTATAGTGCCGTCCTTCTTTCGTACGATCACCACCGGTGTTGCCCAGTCGGAGTGCTGCGTCGGCTCGATTATGCCTTGGTTTTGGGGGATCCGCAGTTCTGCCTCCACTGCGGTTCGCATTGCGAAAGGAACCGGTCGAGCCTTTAAAAAGCGCGGTGTCGCATCTTCCTTCAGCTCCAGATGTACCGCGTGGCCCTTGTGCCCGTTTATCTCTGGATCAAAAACTTCCTCGTGTGTCAGTAACACGTCATGAAGGGTCTTGCCCTGGTCAAGCTGGTATATCCCGCTGACTCTGATATTGAGTGCCGGGAACCAGTTTCCCCCAAGCAGATTGCAGCCCGAACCAGAGGCCACGATTAGCGGGAGCAGATAGTCTTTTGACTTGTGTCGGACGCGCACTTCTGCCGACCCGAGAACTTGTAGTTGTTTTCCTGCCCATGGTCGGAGCGTGATATGTTCTTTGTTCAATGAAAAGGCATTCTTAGGCCAGGTTTTCCTGTATGTGTCTTCACTGATGATGGAACACGCAGCTCCGGTGTCCACTTCGAACTCCATGGGTCGTCCTTCGACTTTGAGTGAGACCATGAACTTCTTCACCGACGTGGTATAATTTACACTGTTCAGCTTGTATAAGGTTTGGGTATCCTCGTCATCACCCGAAGGTGCCGACTCATCATGACTAACCGCGTGTGCTGATCGCCGCCGTTGATTTGTTTCAGTCTTCTGGTAACACGCCCTTTCAATGTGTCCGGTCCTTCTGTAAAAATTGCAGCGTGCCGTGCGGAATCTGCATGTAGCTGCGACGTGTTGTTCGTGACAGCGATGGCATCGTTGTTCACTTGATACGAAGTCCTGTTTCTTTTGCTTGCCTAGGTTCCGGTTTTCACGTACTGTTGACTTTTGACCCTTGGTTACGGCGTTAATGGTGGTCTTTTGAGCTTTGACGTCTTTTTGCTGTCTTGCAGCACTCTCTGCTCTCAATGCGAAATCATAAGCCTTCTGGAATGTTAGGTCCGGCTCTGCAAATAGTCTTTGCTGAAGGTGTTCGTCCGCAATCCCACATACGAACCTATCCCTTAGCATCACCTCCAGTGGTAGCATTGTTGTGGACGATGCGGTGACCGGCTCATCGCCGCTCGCACTGGTGCTGGTGCTGGCGCTGGTGCTGGCTGTTGCGGTTGTCGGAACTCCAAAGTTGCAATCGACGGCGAGCTTCCTTAGTGCCGCAACATAATCGCTGATGGACTCGCCTGTCTCCTGGTCTCTCCGTTGAAACTTGCTTCTGCTGAAGAGCTCGGACGGCTGCGGGTCGAAATGGGTGTGCAGCATGCTCATTATGTCGTCGTATGCCACTTCGCCAGGCTTCTAAGGTGCCACCAATGCTCGCACCGTTTCATAGGTCTTGGCGCCGCACAAGGTGAGGAGAAGGGCCCTCTTCTTCGTAACGACAGTTACCCCATTCGCTTCAAAGTAGAAGTTCAGTCGTTCTGCCCACGATGACCACCCGGCGCCGTCGAATTCTTCCAGCTTACCCTGGGTAGCTGGCATCGTGGAGACGTCCGAAGATGCGTGTTCGTTCATGCACTACCTCGTCGCCAGTGTAGAATAACCTTAGCTAGGAATACTACCTTAGCTGGGGTAATGACGAGACAGTCATTCGAAGCATCCGAAACGGTTAAGATTGTTTTATATATGTCTCACGAGAGCGCAGCCAGCTCTCGAGACAAACCCACGCGCTCGTGCGCAGCGCTCGCAGACTTGCCCGCCGGCCGTGTGCCGGTAGATACATCACACTTTCCACGCGAAAAGCAAGGGTCCAATTCTTGGGAGAAAATCGTCTTTTCTTTATTCTTCCAATTTAATGTTCTGGTACATTCGAGAACTCTGTTGCTTGTTCGAGGTGCGAACTTTCTAGTCGCCGAACCTTCTTGGTTGATTGTTCAAGAAGCCAGCGCTTGTATATAAGGGCGTAACAATCCGTAATCAGTCTCGCCCCAGCATTCGACTCTGCTGTTACGAGAAAGGCTAGCGCCTGCGACGCTAGCCTTTCTTTATTTTTTTTGTTTCGGCACAAGTTCGCCATATTAAACGTTTAGTTTCTTCATTTATTCGATGCCTCATCAGTTGTCATTCGTGAAATTATTATTAAAAATAATGGTTTGGTATCAGTGTCAGCTCCATGCGTGCGCGCGCTTTCTACTTGTGGTTTTGCCTCGTTTTTGATGTTTTATTTCTTCTGATCATTCTGGTTTAACTCAGCCTTGATCTGCAGTTAAAATTGTAACCGCATACATTCTGTAGAGCATCAAAAAATTTATTTTCAATAATGCCTTTTGGTGCCCTGCTTGAATGTATTTGCTGCACAATACGTGCCTAGTAATTTTCTTTGTAGACATAAAAAGATGTATAACAATGTGCTCTTGCTTTTCCACGATTTTTTTAACAGTTGTATTTTGATTGCATGTTGAGGCAGTGTCGTACTGTGGCTGGGCCTCGTCAAAGTGTACCTTCCTTTTGCCATTCATCTCAAAACTTTTGTATTCGAAGTAAAGCCACAAGTAAACAAACCGGTTATTACCTTCGCTGCCCCATCTACCACCTGCAATATTAACACAAACTGTACTCTATCAGTCAATTTTCTTCGAGATCTCGAACTTTTGCTAAACGGCCGGCTGTAACTGCCGGTTGTAGCACTGGGATCTAATAAAAAAAACGACACCGAAAAGCGCTACGTCCATAAGAAAACCATATAAAAAGACTTCACTCTCTGCATGTATTGAACTCGCAGCATTGAGATTGTGAGCCAAGTGCTTTACCAACTTAGCTATCCAGGTTTTTTTTTTCTTAATTGTTGAGCTATCCAGGGTCAGTGGTAGCTAACACACAAAAGCGAACGCATTGGCGCGGCCACTGAAAGGCACGGTCGCACGCATCGCGGCCTTTCCGGTTATGCTGCACCATCTCACGGCGTGTGTCCGAAAGGGCACCGAATCTTAGGTAGGCGGTACTGTTCGGACGCCCTTCTCTTCTACCACAGTGGCTGTGGCTCCTACAAAGCCACGACGCCCATAAGTGGAAGGCCTCTCATACATTTTGTGCTTACCAATCTTTGTAAGAGTGATCAAGCTTGCATTTTTTTTAGAAAGCTTTACATGTTTCTTAATAAGCAACGTGTCCTTTGGAGCTCCAGATCTTGCTTCAAACGAAAAAAAGACTTAATATTGTTCTTAATTAACTTCAGTTTTCATTAAATCATCGAATTCTTCGTTTAACAGAAGCCAAACTTATTGAAGATATGCAAATTCCTGTGTTTGGCGAACTTCAAAAATTCCCAACGTACCTTCACTGAACGCCTCGTAGATGGAATGTATTGTGGAAATGGGAAGGTAAGTTAAGTGTGCCTTTTTTGTCGTTGACGGTTATTAATTTCCAAAAGTTATATCTTACACAAATTAAAGACAGCTTACCTCATTTTGGGTACGACAGTTTTTTTCCGCATGATTCGAAACATCTTTTTTTTAATAGATCACTACTCTTTTGAACGGGTTGTCGGCCTGTTTGTGACGGTCGAGCAGCCTCGTGACCAAGTGCATGCTAAAAAAATGGCGATTGGCGGTCAAAAGCATTGATCTTACTCAAACTTTGGTAGGCCCCTAGAATCTCGCCCTCTACTCACAAATATACTTGTATATCATTATTTTCTTAAATCAATGTGCCTGTGTTACTGGCCAAGTTTTTGTAGTCCAAGTCTGGTTCCACTGAACGAAGAGGAATAGGACATACACAGAAGGAGCGAGCAAGACGTTTTCCCTTACTTAATGATGTAGACCAACGTCTTTTTTTTTTGTTAAGTATCAATTGGTCATTTTGGAAATCGAGATGAACTATCCTTAAATCACAAGTCCAAGATTTAGTTCAGGGATACAACTATTGCTAGCGAAGGCAAAACTCTTCTTTAAAATTACAGAAATGTGAGAGCGTAATATCACACACATAACTAGATATAAGAGCAACATGTTGCTTCCTTACACAATTATGGTGAACAAGATAACAATCAGTTGCGATATCTGAGATGCTTTAAAATTCTCACGGTTACTCCCTAACAATATCGTAGACATTAAACTCTTGATGAATATTATGAATAAAATAGCGCAAAACAACATGAAAGGAAGGACGAGGTAGACACAAAGCAAAGAAAATTGTTGTGTGTATGTTTGTACAGCCAGAAGTTAGTCTGCCTCAGTGGGCGTCTGGCCTCTCAGCTGTAGACGAGCAATTTAGCCAGTGCGGTACTACCGCTAACCTGGGGCCTTTAACGTGCACCACGCACTAGTGATACAAGACCGCGCGCCGGTACGATGCTCATCCACATCCAAATGGGCAGGGGCGGGGATTGAGCCCAGGATCCTGGGTTCTGCAGCGCGAGTTTTCGCTCCACGTGCACTGACCTGGTGTGCGCTAGACCACCCGGCCATCGATCCCCCCGACGAGGTAGACAGGAAGGGCGCTAACTGACAACTGACATTTAATACAGTCTATAAAGAAGGAGAAGGAAGAAGTTACTGATGCTATCGCTTAAAAGAAAGAAAAGTACACCCTCAAAGTTGTTATGCGTAAAAAGGAAAATAAAATAAAATACACAAACTGTATAAAATGTCAGTTGTCAGCCCTTCCTGTCCACCTCGTCCTTCCTTTCTCGTTGTTTTTCGCTATTTTATTCACGATGGACAACCAACTAGCCCCCAGCTCATCTTATTGAACTTTTGACATGCGTTTTTGAGTATGCACTAAATCGGTGGACGTCATTGCATACTGCAAGCGGAAGGCGTCTGTTCATCACTCCATGTTTTCTCTGCATTTATCGTTCTGTGTTTTCGCAGTATTTGTTTTTCAATATATCTATAAATGAATACTGTTACCGCTCATTCACACAGGAAGCGGATCCGCGTTCGCAAAGCGGTTGCGAACGCGGAGGTATAAAGGTGCAGTACAATTGCACGCGCAATTCATGTCATCGGGTGCGCGTCCAATTGCACTAGGTCTTTATACAACCGCGTTCACAACCGCTTTGTGAACGCGGATCCGCTTCCATTGTGAATGAGCGGTTAGGGGCCTACTTTCTTTTTTGATTGTCCGTGTGAATTCCAGTATGACATACAAACCGGTCTTGAGATATGTGGCTAAAGTTCTATCAAGGAAAGTATTCAGCAAAAAAATAAAGACTTTTACAATTTCCTGCAACGTCCAATCAGAGTGCAACTCTTGAGGAGGAGGAGGAGGGAATGGTACGGAGGGAAGGGTGTGCCCCTCTTCCTTCCCCGCTAGATTTAGCGGGCAAAGATTTCACTAAATTTAGCGGAAATATTTTCCCGACAAGTTTAGCGAAATGGAGTGGGAATATTGACAATGTTTGATGCGTGTAACGTTACGCAGCGTCACACGTGACGTCAAATGACACGTGGTTCCTATAATGACGTCATATGTGACGTCACGTGTGACGTCACGAGGGTAAGCCTCGTGAGGGTAACCCTCGTAAGAGTGACCCTCGTAATCCTCGTGATCCTCGGGAAGGTAACCCTCGTAACCCTCACGAGGGTAACCCTCGTGACGTCAACACGTGACGTCAATATGAGAAATTTCCCGTAATGCAACGCGCGGTTACGCCGACGGCGACGCCGACACCGACGCCGACACCGACGCCGCTCAAACTGAAAATATACGCCTGAAAGCTGCGCAAAAAGGAAAGTTGGCCTATGCGTTTTTATTACATCCGATAGCCTTCCTGTCGACAACTCCCACCCCTAAACAAAATAACTGGATTTTGAATTTGAAACGAATGCGCAAGCGCAGGAGAGTAAAAGGCGAATGAATCAAGAAGAACAAAAAAAAAAAAGGTCGATCGAACGCACCCTTGGGGGAGTCGTACCCATTACCTCATGATTACAAGCAGGACTCTCAACGCTGTAACTTTTTTCTTATTGACATTGCGGAGGACTACACCTTTGCCACGGTATTAGATGTACGTACAGATCTCAAAACAAAAATGTGCAGTTCTTTTTTTACTCCAAAAATAAACAGCTCATTCTCTAACCTTCATTCGCCGGCAAAATGTGGCGCTAACGGTTCAGACCAGATCGCAAAGCTGCAGAATGCAGCGTTATCTTATTAAAAAGTGATGTGATTTTCAAACATTTCTATTAGAAAATAAGTCCCAGTTTTGCCAGTTTTCGGTAGCTGACGATACAGAGCTTCATGTGTTAGAGAGCTCAACCGGCCGCCGTTTCCGCATCGAAAATTTCACAAAATCACATGACTTTTGAATAACAGGGTATTTTATGTTGTCCCTTAGACGACTTGAAGGTGAAAGCCCAAGCGCCGATGCCTTAAAAACAGACAGATTATTTACTCGCTGAGTCATCTCTCTTAAGGTAATGAGTGATCCTTCTCAATATGCTGAGTCATCATCTTAATTCGCTTAGTCATTCACTGAGTGGTCACGTAAACGTTTTGGTACCTTTCGTGTCGCCGACGTGTTTTCACTCAGGGACTGAACGATGAGACATAGAAGGCTTTCGCCTTAATGATGATTAGTGCTGTAACTTTGGCAACTGGCTCGGACCGCTAGCGCTACATTTGGCCGGAGAATGAGCGTTCGACAGCGCATAGTTTAGTTTTCGCGGTGGAAAGTAACCTGTTATTTTTATGGGGTGCACTCTGTATATAGGTAAGGACACACTGAACATCGAACGCTGCGACGCGATCGGCCACATAGAGTCCTTTTGGTACAGGCCAGCCAGCAGCGTCTTCGCCGTCCAGATGGCACAATTGAGGAAAATAGGAAAAAAAAAGTGCCTCCTTCCTGGCGAGCGCTTTTTCCACTAAGAACGTCTGCTCTGTCCTTGACAAGCACTGGTTAGAATACCGGGCCAGAGATACGCCCGTTTCAACGCGTTCACAAAACTGCTATTTCCGCCGTTTATGCAAGAAACTGGTGTAACGAAGTAGTCTAAGCAACACGCGTAGCGCAAGTACCAAGTTCTTCATGACGTGACGAAGCCAGAAAATAACTTCAAAAACAAGCATGTCGTTCCACGAGAAGCAGAGGGAACCGGGCCCGCCACTGGCTGCCATTTGCCGTGTTGCGAGGAGTCATCTGGTGGCGCCGCTTGCGACTAATCTGAGGAGACGACCCTTTCTGGCAGCTGCGGCGCACACGGCGTCCACGTCTATATATATTTTACACCTCGACCGTGGCCGGGGGGGTCGTGAATCGTTGGTTGTGAACCGTTAGTTATTAAACTGCTGTAACATATTTTTTTCATCAATCAACACCGTGGACTGTGCTAATAGCGAGAGCGGGTAGCTTTGCGCTTTTTTCTTACTCCACGATGGCTCCTGAAGCGGAAATGCAATCGAGCTCAGGGAGCTCGTGCCTTTGTCCACATTTGTGCAGGAATTGCACAGCTTCAAGCAAAGGGCACGCTATCAAATGAGGACTCAGAAAGGAGACTGTGACAGAAGTCATACGCTTGCAAAACGTCCTACGGTCGTCTAGATTGCCTTCTGAGTGAAAGGAGAGCAATGAAGTGGACATCCATAAAGAGAAGGGACAGCAACTGATGCTCAACGTGTTGGTCGTGCCCATGAGACGCCGAAAGAGGAAGAACAGCGTTTGTCTACGCACAAGGAAGTAAGGTGGCCTGGTGCTGCTACAACTGATGGCCAAGTGAGGGAAAGAGAAACCGGAATGCAATCGATTTTCGAGGTGTTCTCCACAAAAGCGCCGTAGAAACGCAGTCTCAGGAAGGACTTCGCTATCTGAGAAATCTCACTTGGTTGCGGAAATGAAGTATCCTCCTTCTATATCGGTATAGACGATTTGCAGTTTTCCCAAGCGCCCCGGCCCGCGCGCGAAGAATTGTGGTTGAGACTGTCCCTGGCCTGGCCGCTCTGCCTTAAGATCGCATTGCCTTGTCGCTTGTCTCCTTTTGATGCTCTGTTTTTCGATTTCATTACCTATTTTTATCTATTCCAGTGGATTTGTTATTGCTTCTAAGTGTTTCTATTCCCTTCTGCGCGCAATATTTCTTGCATATATATAGTTTCTGTGTCTTCATTTTGCTTTTTTCGACGGGAGTGCCGACGGACAACACGCCGCTTCGAGCGTCGTTCCCCGGGTGAGTAATACCGTTGCTACCGATCCCTATCGCGCTGTTATGTTTATTTTGGTTCATTTCACCCGCGTGCAGTCGGGAGGAGCCGTGTATGTACACCCGCGTAGATGTCATAGGGGTAGGCAGAGCTCTCAATCGACAATCGCGACGCGAGAGCCGATTGGCCGAGTGCGGTGTGATTTAGCCACCCGCGCTCACTTCGTTGACTCTCA